TTTTTAACCAATTCCAGATAATTTTATCCATTTTTGGGGTGTCCAATCTCAATTTTCAGCCATTTCTTCTCGTTTTGAGCCATTTTTTCCCATTTTTGTTCCACTTTTCCTTTTTTGATCCATTTCTTCTCCTTTTTGACCCATTATTTAAATTTTTCATCCATTTTCCCTACTTTTTAAGCCATTTTTTCTTTTTTTGACCCTTTTTTTCCAATTCTGAGCCATTTCCCCCATTTTTAGGCCCCTTTTTCCCATTTCTGTGTCACTTTTTCCCATTTTTATGTCATTTTTCCCATTTTGATCCATTTTTCTGCCATTTTTTCCCAGTTTTAGGTAATTTTTCCCATTTCTGAGCCCCTTTTTCACCTTTAGGCCATTTGTTCTCCTTTTTGAGTCATTTTTTGCCACTTTTCCCTATTTTTGATCAAATTTCCCCATTTTTGATCAATTTCCCTCCATTTTTGGCCCATTTTTTTCTGTTTCTGATACATTATTCCCATTTTTCCCTGTTTTGACCCATTTTTTCCATTTTTTATCCACTATTCCCACTTTTGAGCCATTTCTTCCCATTTTCAAAACTTTTCCCATTTTTAGACTCTTTTTTTTTAAGGCATTTTTCCTCATTTTTGGGCCATTTTTTCGTAATGTCTTTCTAGTTTTCAGGTCATTCTTTTTCATTTTTGGATTATTTTTAGGTGATTTCTTCTCATTTTTCCCATTTTTGCCATTTTTGATCCATTTTTCCTATTTTTAGACCCTTTTTTCTCTCCTTTTTTGATCCTTTTATTCATTTTTGAGCCATTTTTTTGCATTTTTAGTCCATTTTTCCCCATTTTTGATCCATCTTTAGGTCATTTCTTCCTGTCCTTTTTTGATCCATTTTTTCTGGTTTTTGAGCCATTTTTAATCCATATTTTCCCATTCTTTGACCCTTTCTTCTTTTTTGATCCATTTTTCCCATTTTTGACCCATTTTTTCCTACTTTAGGCCCTTTTTTCCCCATTTTTGACCCATTTTCTGTTCTCCTTTTTGACCCATTTTTTCCCATTTTTTTCCCAGTTTTGAGCCAATTTTTTCCATTTTTGATCCATTTTTTCCCATTTTTGAGCCAATTTTTTCCATTTTTGATCCATTTTTTCCTATTTTTGATCCATTTTTTTCCCAGTTTTAAGCCATTTTTTTCCCATTTTTGATCCATTTTCCCCATTTTTGATCCATTTTTTCCCAGTTTTGATCCATTTTTTCCCATTTTTGATCCATTTTTCTCCATTTTTGATCCATTTTTTTCCCAGTTTTGAGCCAATTTTTTCCATTTTTGATCCATTTTTTCCATTTTTGATCCATTTTTTCCCAGTTTTGATCCATTTTTTCCCAGTTTTGATCAATTTTTTCCCTATTTTCCATCCATTTTTGATCCACTTTTAATCCGTTTTTGATGCATTTTTTCCCATTTTTAATCCATTTTTTCCCATTTTTCCCCTTTTTTTCCTATTTTTTTTTTTTTCCTTTGCCCCCCTCCTTCCACCCCCCACTCTGGGGTGACTTTTGGGGTCTCCCCCTTTTCCCCTCCCCCATTTTGGGGTCACTTTTGGGGTCTCCCCCTTTCCCCTCCCCCACTCTGGGGTCACTTTTGGGGTCTCCCCCTTTCCCCTCCCCCGTTTTGGGGGTACTTTTGGGGTCTCCCCCTTTCCCCTCCCCCGTTTTGGGGGTCTCCCCCCTCCCGTTTTGGGGTCCCCCCGATGTCCCCCCGGGGTTTTGGGGTGTCCCCCCGGGTTTTGGGGTGCCCCTGACCCCCCGCTGTGTGCCCCCAGACCCCGAACGCCGAGAACCTGCCCCCCCAGACCCTGCGCCTGCTGTGCCGCGAGGTTTCTCTGCTCAGCGCCGACCCCCCCGACGGCATCAAGGTGTTCCCCAACGACGAGGACGTCACCGACCTGCAGGTGGCCATCGAGGGGCCAGGTACCCCAAAAACAACCCCTGAACCCCAAAAATGTCCCTGTGAACCCCAAAAATACCCCTGGGAAACTCCTGAACCCCAAAAACCTGACTGGGAAACCTGGGAAATCCCAGAACCTGGGAAATCCCTGAGCCCCAGGGATCCCTGAGCCCCACCCAGGTGACATCACCGACCTGCAGGTGGCCATCGAGGGGCCAGGTACCCCAAAATGTACCCCTGAACCCCAAAAATAGCCCCCCAAAACCTGGGGAACCCCAACAACCCCTGAGCCCCAAAATATCCCGGGGAAATCCCCGAGCCGCAGGGATCCCCGAGCCCCCGGTGATGTCACCGAGCTGCAGGTGGCCATCGAGGGGCCAGGTACCCCAAAACGTACCCCTGAACCCCAAAAATGTCCCTGTGAACCCCGAAAATACCACCCTGAAACCTGGGGAACCCCAAAAACCTCCCTGAGAAACTCCTGAACCCCAAAAACCTCCCTGGGGAAACGGGGAAATCCTGAGCCCCAGGTGACGTCACCGACCTGCAGGTGCCATCGAGGGACCCCAAAATGTCACTGTGAACCCCAAAAACACCGACCCTGAACCCAAAAACACCGATCCTGAACCCCAAAAATATCCCTGGGTGTTTTGGGGATCTTTAGGTTGGGATTTTGAAGAGTTTTTTTTTTATTTTGGGGTCTCTAAGCCCCAGTTTTTGCGATTTTAGAGGGCACCCCCTACGCCGGGGGCCTGTGGGTGTTTTTGGGGTGGATTTTTAGGATTTTTGGGGTTTCTAACCCCCCGTTTTTGGGGTTCCAGAGGGCACCCCCTATGCCGGGGGCCTGTGGGTGATTTTGGGGTGGATTTTATCTATTTTTGGTGTCTCTAATCCCCATTTTTTGGGGTTCCAGAGGGCACCCCGTACGCCGGGGGCCTGTGGGTGTTTTTGGGGTGGATTTTATTGGGGTTTTCAGGGTTTTTAGGGTCTCTAACCCCCAGTTTTTGGGGTTCCAGAGGGCACCCCGTACGCCGGGGGCCTGTGGGTGTTTTTGGGGTCGGTTTTATCTATTTTTGGGGTTTCTAATCCCCCGTTTTTGGGGTTCCAGAGGGCACCCCCTATGCCGGGGGCGTGTTCCGCATGAAGCTGGTGCTGGGCAAGGACTTCCCGGCCGCGCCCCCCAAGGGATTCTTCCTGACCAAGATTTTCCACCCCAACGTGGGCCCGGGCGGGGAGATCTGCGTCAACGTGCTCAAGAGGGACTGGAGAGCCGAGCTGGGGCTGCGCCACGTGCTGCTGGTCAGACTGGGAGCACTGGGAGGGACTGGGAGCACTGGGAATGGGACTGGAGAGCCGAGCTGGGGAATTTGGGGGGTCCCAGACTCGATTTGGGGGTCCTGATCCTCCCCCAGACTCATTTCAGGGGTCCCAAACCCCCCAGACTCAATTTAGGGGCTCCCAGACCCTCCCCCCCAGACTCAGTTTGGGGGGGTCCTGACACCCCCAGACTCATTTTGGGCTCCCCGATCCCCCCCAGACTCATTTCAGGGGTCCCAAACCCCCCAGACTCAATTTAGGGGCTCCCAGACCCTCCCCCCCAGACTCAGTTTGGGGGGGTCCTGACACCCCCAGACTCATTTTGGGCTCCCCGATCCCCCCCAGACTCATTTCAGG